TTGCCGTTGCTGTCGGAGCATGCGAACGACATCGTAAAAGGCTTTCTCCACGTTGATGCAGTTTTTGGCGGACGCCTCGACGAATTCGCAGCCCAAGTCCTTCGCCAGGGCCTGTCCTTCCTGCGCCGAGACCGCTCGCTCCACTGCTTTGTCGCTCTTGTTGCCGACAAGCATAACGGGTACAGGGAGGGGCGGACCCGAAGGCGTGTTCATGGGCGATCCCAGATAGCTGGCTCCGGACGGCGACCCAGAGTGGGCTGATTCCTTGACCATCTTGATCTGGTTGTAGAATTTTTGTATGCGCGAGAAAGAGGCGCGCGATGTGATGCTGTAGACAAGCACGAAACCTTCGCCGTCGCGAATCCACTGATCTCGCAAGGCCGTGTATTCCTCCTGGCCCGCGGTGTCCAGCACTTCCAACATGCAGGATTGCTGATCGATCACAACTTGTTTCCGGTACGAGTCTTCAATCGTGGGATCGTACGTTTCGACGAAATGATTCAAACAAAGCTATTTAGAATGAAAATGTTAAGTCGAGAGTTCAGTAACGGTGTCATCAACCGTCAAGACAGAGATGGAGGGCTAACCTGGATCGTGAGCGCGGTCTTGCCGACACCACCGTCTCCCAACACCACCAATTTGTACAACGTCATTTTTCCCGACATGGCGACTATATCGCACCCGTAGGTAACCGAACGATCAAAAAATAGTTTAACAAATATTTTTTTTTGTTAGGAGGGAAAAAAGAATAGAGGAAGACTGGGTACGAGGCGAAGAGGAAGGGGAGAGAGAGGGGCGAAGAGAGAAGAGAAAGCTATGAATGCTCCACGGTGGGCACGGACGCGGATAACGGAGTGTTGCSAGACACGGCGACTGGGGGTCCAGCGCAGGAACTTAAAAGAACGGCTATTGTGGTAAAGTTAGTGCGGTCTATTAGCCACCGGAAGAACCGTCGTTGCTCTCTGGCCGCCCAAGCACATGCGCAGTCCACAATCCACACCACAACACGAGGCCCCACGGGAGCAAAAGAAGTGGAAAGAGAGACATGACATACCTTGGGGCCCTTGGTTTGCGTTTATGACCAGCGAATTGAAGCGAGAATTGTCAAAAAGCCCTGAAGCTTTCCGGTCGCAGTATAAGCTCGTCGATCACAGGCTCAGGAGTAAGATAGTACGAGACAGAAAAATTTTGGACTCGAGCAGAAAACCCGAGAGCCCCAGCTGCCAACAACAGTATCTGCAGATATCCTTGCCACAGCGTGTTTGATAGTCTTAGCAAAGGACAAAATGCGGGTTTGCCAGTGCTTCCGATGAGTAGTGACACAGAGGGATGTTCTGCCAATATATCTGTTGTCCCTTTTTCTGAGGGGGAAATGCCTGAGATTGATTCCGCCACGCAAAAATAGCAGAGTTGAAGCGGATCCAATTTGGAATCAGAGTAATCAGGAAGTGAGAGTCCAAGGGGTGTGAGGTGGGATATCTTTCCTCTGTTCTTTTCCTTTCTTTTTTCCCTTTATACTCCTTATCTTTTAGGGAGGGGGAGGGGGAAAGCTGCACAGGCGATCGAGCGCCAGAGGACCAAGGATAAAAGGCTTGGCCAGCGATACTGGGAAAGATAGTGAGGAGAGAAGCAAAACGATAGATCGCTTATGAGAAACAGGAGAAGAGGAAAAGGTACAGATAGATGAAGGAATAGATACAGGGGAAGAAATAATGATAATAATAATGAAAAAGGAGGGAGAAAAATCGCAACAAATAGCGATTAATTATTATGTAGACTATTTTATTACGGAGTACTGAGGCACGTTCTCTCTTCCCCCTCTCTCTCATAATCCGATGTAGTTAAGCCATGACCTACCTAGAGTAGTTAGTAGAAGTCCTACGGCTTTGTATTAGCAAGATACTTGGATTGATGTTTGACTAGGGTAGGTATAATATAGCGACACTAGGCAAGGACAATAGATGAATGAAGCAAAGGCGAATAGGGAAAATGTTGTGTCCATTCTCCCATGTCGGAACGGCACCTATGAAGTACTTCGTAAGAAGGTTTCCCTCTCTGAATCAATTGATAGATCTGATACCCATAACACGCATCCTGAGGTTGAATGGAGACAATTGTGTGGCGTCTCAGCTTGTCAATGCAGGACTATGCTCGAAGTATACTCGTCTAGAAGGCCTACAACGGGTATATGGTATAACACGAATCATTTTCAAGGAATTTCACGTCAAGTAATTGTTCTGTCATCATCAGACTTTTGTACTGTGATGAAGATCTGATTCAGGTGAGTACAGACGTATCCTCAGCTTTGATTCTCTGACATTTAAGCGAATCGATAGTAATGGAATCCGCGAGGTACCTGACCATCAATACGATGCGCATTGCCCACGAGTTCGACTCATCTCACCGCAATACCCTTCATGATGTGATACTTACGATTCGAAATGCCCTGTTGCTCCCCCTGAGTCTTTGATCACGACCTGAAAGTGAAAGTTTTGCCAGTCTTAGCCTCGTCTCAGATCTTCAAGGAAACATGCCCACTTTCGACTGAAGACAGTTTCGGCTACACACCAAGTGGGCGGATGGCCACACTAAGACTCCCCACACCAGACCCAGTTGGCAATTGGCATCAACTCAATTCGCGTTGTTTAGGCTTCATCTTCCTACAAAGTCCAGCGGTAAGCTTCCGAGTGATACAGCGGAGGACAGTGACATGAACTTAGACATCCGGCTGTGCACCAATACGGAGCGCTCCTAGAGTCCCAAAGCGTGTTGATGGAGCTCGAATGGCAATCTGCAGTGGCAATCAAAATGCCATCTACAACTAGTCTCGCAAGTTGCATCCCTAGACTATTCAACGGGGAAGGCAATCGAACATTCCGCGGCCCCCTGGCTACTCGCTAAAATTCCATCTTCCTGATCCCTGGGACTCCTTATGCGCGGCGCCCCGCTGGCAATATGGCAGTTGCATTTAGAGTTCGCAGTGTATGCAGTATGGCAGTATACTTGAGACTATGGAGGTAGCCAGGTGGGGTAGCATAATATCGAGTCCTACGAGAACATATGCTTGAATATGATCTTTTTATTGCGGCGTTGCGATTATGAAGGTATATTAGGTGAAATATGCAGAGAGTCCAGGAACGTCATCGCGGGATCTGTGCCTGAATTCGGATATCAAAACGATGCTCCTTGCGAATAATCCCGCAACCCTAAAGGTAGTATACTCAACCTTCTAGAATGGCCTTGTTCTTGGCTCAAGGATAGTCAGAGATTTACACTTTAGCCTCTGAGCGATTCAGGTTAAGGGGGAGGGGCACTCGACAACCTGACAGTTCATGTCAGATATTCCTAGGTATCAGTTAACATTGACTGTTGTCCTGGTTTCAGTTGATTTACTACGAAGACACTCCGTACTCCAAGTACTGCACTCCTGTATGAACTGAAGTTGTATCTATCCGTAGAGACTTACTCTCGACTATTTGCCACTGCCCTGGCCCTGGCCCTTTCCCACGTGGGTTAAATGCACGATAGACGGTACTACTGCACAATCCGACCTAGCGCCTTAGGTATCAATCTTACCTTGTATGATTGATAACTGAGTCTGGAAGTATCCCGAGCTCGTAGATTGATTCCTCCGTTGGATACGACAGTAGATCACCGTCATCATGGCATCATATTTCTATTGATGGATATCATCTGGATTTCGGAAGGAACAGCCATGGATCAACCAAGGGGCACTAAAGTGACTAAAACCCGGAGCCCGAGTAGCCGCCGGAGGAGGTTCAGGGGGCCGTCAGTGCCCGTCACATTATCCATCAATAATTCATGACATCGACTGACTCGTCTCCGACTAGCAGATGGGTAATTTCTCCGGGGTTTATCCAGTAAGTCGGGTAGGTCTGATAGTATTGCATGTCTCTATATTCTATACCAGTTCACTACAGATAAACAGTGAGACAAGCTATGTTAATAGGTAAAGTACTCACCCAAGATCATGGCAGCTGTCTTGTCAGGAAGAATTCCAAAGATCAAACCCATCGCCTATCGCAATATTCATCCGCTCGGAACGCCCCGCTCAACCAGAGTACCTGGCAAACTTGGCATATCTAGCGGCGCAGTGTGCTCTGTGCAGGATCAAATCAGAACCAAGATGAGAGACCAGTATCGCGCTAACTATTCCTCCATCCATGGTTGTCGCTTTGGCGGTGCGCCGCGGTGGTGATATCGCCCGTTTCCCCTGCCTCTTTGGGGGCTAGTGGCTACCTGGGACTGGGTCGGATGGATCTAGACCGTCGACGGTTACCTTCTACTTAAAGAGGGGAATTGGATAGGTAGTAGCTTGGCAGGGTTGCAGTGCATAAGATGAAGCATGAGGTAGATTGGGGGCTGGATGGAGTGACTGGAAGATGATTCCGAGTAGAACCAGATATGGACATAATATTCACCAATGGGAAGAGCACTCTTCCCCATGATCCAAGGTGCTGTACCTTTTTGCTAGACGAAAAAAGCAAACATCCACGTTTTGCCTTACGAAGAAGCCCTCGCTCAGCTTCTAGTGGCATTCTACGCCAATCACTGACTCGCGGCCATACACGCCTACGTTACTATTACTGGGATCAAGGTTCTTCGCGACGTTTCTCGAATACGAATGACGCTGTACCTGATCCTCGTTTAACGCGGAGACCGCGGGGAAAATGTCGATTAAAGTCAAGGTATTGCCGATTGCGTATGTCACCTGCGATACGTGACTGGCCTATCTACTATCTACACTTGACTGACCTCTTGCGAAGGCTAGTCCTCCAACGGTAGGATGTCTGGCCCAGGCCCTGCAGTTGTTCCTCGGTCGCCTTCTGATACCCGATTTTATACTAGCCTGGTCAGCATGGCCCTCGTGGGCCAAAAAAGCTCACCAGATCAGAAAAGTCGTCTTCTTGGACGGCCCTCGTGTTCTGGCCCATTGGTCGTAGTGTAACTGCCAGTACCAGCGATCAATTCGCGAATAGTTATGCCGGATCATTCTGAGATTGCATCGGAAGTTCAGGTAATATGCCACGTCGAAGCGAGCAATCGTCGTGTACTGCCGGATATCCGCCCTCGGTGATGTTCGCCCCGAACAGATACGGCTGGTGACCGGGCTGTCCGAGATGCTCCTCGACCCGGTTCAGCGACTCGAACAACTGGTGCAGGKTCGCACGGTACGCTGCCTGCGTCGTGGCGAACCTGGTCTTGTACACCCCGTTGACGATCTTGTCGTACACCCAGTCGTTCATGGCGTCGATGTCGGCTCGCAGAGGCGCGGGATACAGTCCACCGCCGGGCTTGTTGGCCTCGCGCATCGCATAGGGCAGCAGGAGATGGTCAAACTTGGCGTAGAACATGCGGATGATCTCGCTGCTTCATTGTTGACGATCGTTTGGCGCTGTTTATCCCAGAGGACCGGGATGGCCCTCGTACGGCGATCCACTTTGAGATAGAGCTCCTTGAGCGCTTGAATCCGTACAAAGGGTCCCTCTCCGCAAACCCAAACTGGCCAGAGAAGAACCACCCGTGCGGGCCCTGCCCCGGTCCAGTACCACCAGCTCGATGATGTCTTCGAGTCCCTTGAGGATGCGCGCGATGTTGATGCGGTGCGCCCAGGGACAACCGTACCCCAGGTGCAGCACGTAGCGGTCTGTCTGTGTGGAGAACTGCAGAATGGGCCACTCGAAACGAACGAGCGGAATGTGGATGGCTTACGACGAAACTGTCCGTCGGCATCGGCGTGTTTGTAGATTTTGGGCTGTCTTCATTGTCAGCAAGGGTAATGCGGAAAGTATAGATGCGCTCCTGGTACGTCATGTTCTCTTATTTGGTCCACGCATCAGCATCCTGATGAACGCTGGGATACAGTTGAGCCTGCTGCCTGCTGAAGACAGGCTGACAAAATCGGATGTCACCATCTTAGGGTCAACGGAAGTGCGGAATAATGGCTACAACCAACCCCAGTATGTCGCAAATGATGCAATAGAATTGACCATGAGTACTCATCAGGCATAGTGTACATATAACATCATTGGAATCTAGACCTTAGCCTCGGTATCAATTCCAAACTGCCTGGCAAGCTCAAGAAACCCATCGCAGGTTGCATCAATCCAGATATCAACATAGCCCTCCTTCCGTGCCTGCTCCACGTCCAACGTCTCCTCCTTCAGACGCTCAACATAAATAGTCTGAAACCCGCAGGCTTTGGCACCCTTCAAATCCCTCAGATGCGCCGCCACAAGCGCACACTCCCCGGGCTCCACTCCGAATCTCTCCGCAGCCCCGCCGTAGACTTTTGGCGACGGCTTGTACGCCCCAAAGTGCTCTGCACTGAGCACCTCCGTGAAGGGCAACGAGGCGTACCGACAGAGATCCTCTAGCAGCGCCACATTCCCGTTGGACAAGGTGCAGGTGCGAAACTTGCGGTTCAGGAGCTCCAGGCCGCGAACGGTATCCGGCCACGGGGTGAGCCGGTGCCAGCTCAGCGCGAGATCCCATCTCTGGGCGTCGGTGAACAGTGTCTCGAGACCGTGGGCTTGGAGGAGCTTGAGGAGGTATGAGTAGTGATGCTCGTCGACGGAGACGAAGGGCTTTGAGGGATCGTGGCTACGGGTGAAGTGGCCATATGACTCGCGCCATTCCTCGCTTATGCCGAGCCAGTCTGATTGAGTCATTGACGAGACTTTGGCGCGCACGGCGTCGGAGAGCTCCTTTGTTGGGTCTTGGAGCGCGTTTTGTGCTGCGTCATAGAGAGCTTTGGAGACGGGGGTGCGCCATTCGACGACGGTACCAAAGACATCGAAGAAGAGGACTCGGGGGGTAGTTTGGGATGGCATTGGTGACTCGGTAGTTCATGAATTCCGATAAATACGGTGGTGATTCAGCCACAATCCAATCTCACACGAGTATGGAATATTATGAGGGATCAACATGATTGTTGATATTTATGGTGATAGTCAAGAGTCAGAAAGCATACCCCGCAAAGGCGCCATATTGCCTAACGCCGAGAGCGGCGTGCCAGGTCAGGATAAACGTTCAGCCTGAGGCCTACCGGTGACTCAGAGGCCGAGAGAGATTGAGAAAATCGAGCGATATCCGAAGCATCTGATAGAATCCACTCAACGAATGAGAGAATCAAAAGGAAGAATAATGAGGCGATTCAGTTGCGGTAGGAACTGGGTGTGATGACTCTGAACTATAGTTGACAACTAGATGAGCATGTGGATAAATCACATCATCACATAGTCCATTGCTTCAGATAGATCAATGGTCATCCTATTATTAGAGTCTCAATCAATTCTCAATCAATTATCCTGGACTTTGACAGCTGCAGTGTGATGATCATCAACGGCTGCACATGTGTGATCAAATTAGTGCAAGGTAGTTGAAGCCTCGAGCTGACACCTCGGTAATTTGATACTCAGGCTCAAGATGTGGCAATTCAGTACTCCGTACATGTCTAAGAGCTTTTCTCTTAGAATAAATAATTGTTGGGTTATATTTGGTAGGGAGACTATCTATTCCGGAGCATAGCAATCATGTGGAGCAATTGAAGTAGTTGGGGGCTTTTGTGTATGGACCTGTCATCTCTCAGAAAGAATGTCTTTTCTTTGTTGTTCTTTTTGTCAAAAGACAAAAGTACAACCCCTGAATGAAAAGCTCCAAGCCAACGCTACTAATGCTAGACTAATTAATTGCCGTGGAGTCACTAACGACGCCGGGCTAAACTAAGCAGTCTAGCTGGATTATTGCAGAGTACCTTAGCAGACTTTTGTCAAGTTCTAACTTTTTGGTCTTTCCAAGACATCACGTTCTTCTGCATTGGATAACTAAGGACCGAGGCCAAGGACGACTACGACTGCAAAATCGATACTATGTAGTACTACTGACAACAGAAAATATATGTGCTCACAGCTCATGACCGAAAGTGCTACTTTTGTCATTGTCTCTGAACTCATAGAACACTCAATGCCCCAGACTGATGAGATAGAGTACCTCTGCGTCATATCACGAATCCAAGGACAATAGGAAAAGGGGCCTGAGCAGGGACCACTTAATCTATGAGGGTCGAATGAGTTTCTTCCTTCAGCCTATGAAGTTATACTATCATGAACACAGCTGATTTCCGTCTCAATCAACCAATCTCAAAGCAGTCAAGCGCTCCGTAGTAAGTTCAGTTTTGAGCCCAGAGGAATAAAGCCAAGAACCAAAAGCTGGGACGCGGCCCGTTTGTGTTTGTGTACCTCTCCTGTATCCTATCCAAGGAAGCGACTCGGGTGTTCCCTCACCTTCCGAGTTTTGCCCTCTGCCTGTATCACCTGTTTTGTTATGATGCTGATATCGAATTGTATGATGGTGGTCAGTAGTGTACAGCATTAATTGGGTATCATTATTACTACCTTACTGACCACGTCTTGCATTCGTCTGCAGCGCTGCATCTCCCGCAGTCGAAACTCAAACATTAAATTTGATCCAGTAAACCAATTGGATGCTCGATCGCACGCGACAACCTAGTGGAAATCTAATACGTACTGCACCCCTGTAGTTCGCTACCATAATGCTCGTGTTTAAACCTACCGCATGCTCGGATTCAGGGATATCACTCCGTACTGAAACACGGACCAGAGGCTATGCCGATCTTCTTGAAAAGCAAACGCAGGGTCTAGATATCTGTGATGATATCTTTCTCATGGCGTGGTTTACATGATCGTATCTCCCGTTTCGCGTCGTATGATCCCCCTGTCGATCAATAATAATGACTGGATGGTTCCGTGTATTCCCTCCGAGAGTTTAGGGGACCGTATCCATTTGCCGTAATACCCTTGAACAAAACGACGACACAGAAGAGGGAGAACTTGGACAAGAGCTTTCATATATATGGAGTAGACGAGAATTCATTATTAGCATCACATCACGTCCAGGTACTTGAATGGACACTCAATTCGCTGGTTTAGAAAGTCCATCACCAGTTGAGTAGAGTTCATAGTAGTTCATACTATAAGTGAGTCAAGAGATTGATGATTTTGAGAACCAATTTCCCCTAATTGCCTAAGCCAACTACCTTACGGAATCTACTCCGTAGGTACCTTACGTAGCTACTCTGTAGACGTGAGGTAATAATAATAAGAGAATACCTTACGTAGGTACTGTACCATTTCATTATTATGTATTGCATGGGCTAAGGTATGATCAGAAACAGAGTACAGCATGGTAACCACGATACATACACAACCTTTGCCTGCCAGCGTCTCCTTTTCCCTTTCTCCCTTCTTCTCATCTGAAGGCTGAATTAACGCGCATGTCTCATATCCACTTTTGCTTTTTTACTTTTTTTCTATTGTTCCCTACGGACGATTAATCATCTTTATTATTACCTAGTTAGTTATTATCACTTCTTTCTTCTCCCAACAATGGACAGGACGCGACCAACATTGAATGATAGCCAATACCAGCCTAGTCCTATCAATTTTCCGTCCGTTTTGATCCGTCGTCTCTAGCCTCTATCCAATAATCCACCTACGCATCCATCGATCCGATACTTCCAGTCGATATCAGTTATTCCAGTCTAGGCTGCCCACCTACAGCTCTGGTGGGGTCCGGTATTATTGTGCTCCTCAACGCTTCCACTAATTGGATTACCGTCCTTTATTACTTTCATATGGAGTGCTCCGTAGTACCAATGCTACTAACCACGATGGTGAGTAGTACCCCATCAGTGCTTTGGTGCTATTCAGTAGTGCATCCACCTCCTAACGAACTGCCCCTGGACTGGCTCTATCTTAGTTCAATTCAAGATGCTTGGACAGGAGCCTGTGCCGCAAGGCTAAAATCCATCCTGGCAACTAAAAGGGGAAAAAGGCAAGAAAAAAACAAAAAGCAAAAAGAAAAAGGAAATTGGAGACTGATTTAACGGGCCTCAGCTGCATGGGCTCGCTCTTTCCACACTCGCCATCTATTGACTAGATAGCCTAGACTTCTAGTTTCGAAGGATGAGCGATTGATTGCAAGACCGGCCGTCATCTCGCAGGTAGATAGACAGTCACTTTGCCTGCGTCCGTCGTCTGTCTCGAGTCTCGATCTTCACCCTTTCCCCCGCGTTGCGCGGATTACAGTATTTCCATCCTTATCTTCCAATCCATTCGATTCATTCGCTGTTGCTGCACCAGTTAATTCGGCTTCTGTGTCTCCTCGCATTTGCATGATAATTATTTATCCTTAATATCCACGTATATAATTAACAAGTGCAGCACCATCCCCTCGAGGGTTCAACCTTCAGGAGCTGTTCCAACCTGAGGTACGTGCACGTTTACGCAAGCATAGGGAGGCTGGATTGTTCAGCCTTCAGAACTCGAGACGACCGGCCTGGAATCGGCTGACTGGGTGGTCACCGTAGATTCGTTTGGCGACAATTGTCGAAATTACTGCTGCTGGCCAGCGTCATCGTTCTCCCCGACAGTCGTCGACCCACGGCTGTTGACCTTCATCTCGACTCGCAGACTTGAATCAGATCGACGGATGCCGTATGCATTGCTTTGATTTGGATCTGTGGGAACGGGCCCGACTGCTGTGCGTGGTCAACTTCCGATCCCGTTGGTGTTAATGGTTGGAAGCTCCGACTCGTCTGTTCGTTCTGAAAGATAGAATCCATGGCCACAGACGTTCAATATCAAAGCCCTTCAGCGGCTCAGGCGTTCCCCACGCCATCGACAACGCCGCATCGGGTGCCCTCCATACATGTCCGCAGCGGTTCATCGCCGATTCGCTCCGCATCACCTCTTGCCCCTCACGACTTTTCCCCCGAAGGACCGAGTGATCTG